TCCGGGGCGCGGCTGCTCCTCCAATCGGGGGGCTCTCGCGGGAGACGTCGCCGAGCTCCGTCTCTGCAGCGGGCCCCCCCCCACATGGACGGCAGGCCCACGGGGCGCTCGTCGCCGGAGGGGGTCACTGCCTGCGGCGGAGAGGAAGGCGTGTAGAGCTCATGGGGGGGGGATTTTCGACGAGGGGGTGTCTCGGAGCATAGTCGACGCATCCTGGGTTTGCTCTGGTCCTCCTCCTCCTCCTCCTCCTCCTGGATGGCGCCGAGGACATGACAAGGAGCAAAAATCGGGGGCCAGGGCGGAGGGAGGGCACGGAGAGACGGACACGCGGACGGGAGGGAGGGCGGCACGCGTGCGAGAAAAGGTAAGCCCGACTCGGGTGAGCTGTCCGGAGGGCACCCCGAAGCTCACCCACCGCTGAAGCCGAAGCCAAAGCTGAAGTGCACAGAAAAAGAACGTGTCCACCCCGCAGGCTTAGCTGACAGTACGTCGCTGAGTGTTGCCGCAGCCTCCCCTGAGCACAGGCGCCCCCTGAGCAGCAGCCTCACGCCTTGCTGAACTCCAGGCGCGCTTCGGTACGAATACTGCCGCCGCCATCCCCCCGTCAGGGCCACCGATTCGGGCGACGACGACAGCGTGGCGTTAGCCGACGCGAGTGTAAAGCCTGACTACGAGGAGCTCCGTATCCCCTGAACCGGATAGGACAGTAATAGCAGCAGAAGGGGGGGCAAGACAGACGGGGAGAACAAGACGAGATCACGCAGACATGCCTGGCTGTGCTGCACTCTGCACTCTTCCGCACTGGAAGGCACGTGGATTGTATTGCTGGCCATACTATCGAGTTGCAACGCATCCCGAACTGCCTGATGGCCTCCACCTCCTCGTCCTCCTCCTCCTCCACCTCCTCCTCCTCCTCCTCCTCCTCCTCCTCCTCCTCCTCCTCCTCCTCCTCCTCCTCCTGGTCTTCCTCGTCCTCCTGCTCCTCCTCCTCGTCCTCCTCCTCCTCCTCCTCCTCCTCCTCCTC